TTTTTTTTTTTTTTGTTTGTTTTTTGTTTTTCTTCTTCAAATGAGCGAATGGTCATCTTAAAAAGACCCACCTTCAAGGAAGGTAGTAAAGTTAGCTGGCTGGGTAAAAATCCCTGCACATCGCTATCTATGTATATTATATTCAACAACGACAGCTATGAAAGAACATTCAATGCATCAAAGGTATTTTTTTGTTTTTCTTTTTTTTCTAAGCATTATAAAATCCATTCCTGGTACACCTCAGGATAATCCAATGTTTTAATACTTAGGCAACACTGGCTTATAAAGTCCACGGTTGAATATAAGCCTTGAAAAGTTTGTTTCTCTCTCTTTTGTGTATGTGTGTGTGTGCACGCATGTGTTTTGTTCGTATATATTTATATATATATTTTAATAAGTAAGGATGGGAAATTCAGGACTTGTGGGCTTTGTTGGTTTTAAAGGAAACTTGCAAAACTCTGTCTCCCAGGCGGTACCCGTTGAGGCTTGCGATGGCCATAGCTGCCTCGTCATAGTTGGTCATGGTGACGAAGCCGAATCCCTTGCACTTGTTGGTGTTGAAGTCGCGGATGACCTTGACATTGTTCACTGCGCCGAAGGGACCGAAGAGCTGCCAGAGGACGCTCTCGTCAGAGTCAGGGGACAGGTTGTAGACGAAGATGCACCAGCCTGTTCCCGTGTGACCAGGGATGTTCATTCCCACAAGGCTTGTCATCCCGTCAATGGTGATTGGGGAAAACCTGGGGGGACAAGCAGAAGGGGGGACTGGTCCAGACATCAGTCTGACCGCGGATAACACACAGATGCACAGACACAGACACGGGGCAGAGGGCTGAGTGAGTGTTTGCAGGAGAGTCTGCAGGGTTTAAAAACCAAAACATAAACACTAATGCTTGTGGCAGTTGTTTTGCTAGGAATGGCTAGACTGGTCAAGGCACCTACATGCCAAGAGAAAAAGAACTGGGTCGATTTCTAAAAACCCATGGGGGATCTCAGAGCTACCAGAGCAAGGCTCTAATATAGTTCTGTCACAGTATATGCTTATGGGGTATCCCACCCTGACCCTGCTCCTCCCACAAGAGACAGTGAGCTCTTGGGGAAAGGGGTTCTATTTTATTCATTCTCTTGCTCTATTTATTTATTGACTGATGCACATATGGGAGTCTCACAGACACAGTGACACACAGAAAACACTTAATAAATATTTATTGATTAAGTGAATAAATTTGTTTGATCTCAATGCTTGGGAAATTGTATTTTATATTTTTAGGCAGATTAGGGGATGGCCCTAGAAGTGCTCAAGTCTACCATCTTTGCGGTCCCTCAACTCCTGGTTGTCAAAGATCTTCAGTATCACTGAGGACAGAGATATGTGAGAATGAACAGACATGTCTTGTTATTAACTGAATGAGTGGCTCATGTTGTCACCTTTATTTGAAAGGGTTCCCCCTCAAAAAATTCCCACAATGTAATAAAGGCATATGACTCTTGATGCTATATTATCCGGAATTCATTTCTAAGTATCGCAGGAACAAGATTTCAAGTGGTTTGTGCATTTATATATCTTGAATCACTGTACATTAGAAAATCAGAAAACTGTTATTTGCCCTATTACAACTACTTTTGTATTAGGCTTCGAAATCTTCTCAGTTTTTATGTAATCTTGAAAAGAAAAAAAAAAACCCTTCAGAGTCTATTTACTGTCTGATAAAATAAATCCATGTGTGATTTGTGATGGATGCATCAGATGAAACAATTAGGTTACCCGTGCCTACAGCAAAAAAAATTTTGTTAACATTTTATTTCAGACTGAACTGACACAGGGATTTTGACCCTATTCATTAACTATTAGCTTGCTTTTTCATTGTTGGGTTTTTTTTTTTTTTTTGATGGGGAGCAGGGGGGTGGTGGGAGAAGGAGGGGAAGAAAAAACTGGGGAAGAGCATAGGGTAAAGTGTGATCCAGGAATAAGAAAATATTCTTGGAAATCTGAAACTCCTATTTTAAAGAATAGTTCTGTATCTAACTAGAATTTAGGTAATCAAATGGCTGCTGACGGTATGCTAAACATAACAACTCAATAAGCATTGCTTTTGCTATTCAAGTTAATCTTCCCTGTCGCTTAAAAACAAAAACAAAGCAAAACAAAACCAAAAACCACCATGGAACATATTCTTAGAAGGGCAACTCCATTGTCTAACTGCTACTTGCTTTATTTCTGACGACTTTTCACAACCTTCTCTCCTCCAACTGGGTGAACTGATCCCGTTCAGTTTATAGGTAGAAAACAGTTAAGTATTTATTATAAAGCCAAAGTTGGGGACAGCAAAGAGGTTTCACTAGACTGTCAACTCCAGTTGGTAATGACTATCTGGAGCACTTTGGAGGAAGGATTCTGGATCCAAAGCTGGGTTCAGCAGGAAAAAAAGAATGCTGTTATCGACTAGCGATGCGTACTACGGGTGGGGACTTGGAGGAAGGGGCAGTATGCATGTTGCAGCTGTGGTATACGCATCACTCTTTTCACAGAACTAAAGTTGGGACGGGAAAGAGGTATGAGACCAAGCTAGGAAAGATGTAAAATGCCTGGGAACAGGCAAGCAGTGCGCTAGACACACGGAGATAATTCACAGTTATTCTCACTGTGCCGGGATTGAGACTCAAGAGGCTGGGAAGAACTGGCAGTCTGCAGTCAAGTTACTTCCTTCACTGTGCACCAGTTTCTAGGGTCAGGGGTACTTACTATGCATGACCAAGTGGTGAAAGAACTGCCTAGTATGGGGAGCGTGACGCAGATTATTAAAGACCACATCTCTGTCCCTTGACGGTAGGAAGGGGAATTAAAGTGTGCAGCTCTACTGAGCAAGATGATGAAGACACTACATTCCTAGCAGTTCAGCAGAGCTTATCAAAAGCACATATGGGAATCTCACAGACACAGTGACATAACACACCCAACTTCCCGTGATTCAGCTTTCAGACTGGGTCTGGAACACCCTTATGACCGCATTCAGAGAGCTCAAAAGCCTTGATTCTGTAGGAGCCCAACGCCACAAAAAGGCTTTCAATGAAAGAAATAGCAAGTTTAAAACACACACACATACATAACCAAGGGAGGGTTTATAACAACTGTTAAAACCTGTAACAAAAGAACCCTCCGGCTGAGGTGCACACAGATACACTTCATTCTCAGGATCCACTGTGAAATGCGCACTGAGGTAGGGGCAGGAGTCAAAGTCATCCACGCTTTTATTCATGATTTGGCCAGGGCTGGTAGTCCAAAATCTAATTTTTCGACTGACAATCAGAAGATTGTCAACCATGATTAGCAAAATGTTCTAATTTTGATTTGCAGGAATCTGCCCTCTTAACTGAATCTTGGCACTGCTAATGTAAAACAGTTGCTCTGCGAGTTTGCAAAACAAGCCAGCAAAGAGTCGGAGACTTCCCCTTTAGGGGAGCCATTCGGAGGACCCAATTACCAAGGGCTTGGTAGCTGTGGCACCTAAACCATAGGGGAAGCCCACCTGCAAACAAAAGAAAAAGTGAAACACACAAACACACTTTGTGTGCCCTAAAAGAAATAAAACCAACTGAGGTCTGAAATTAAAATTAAGAATTTGACATGCTGGTGGAAGAAAAATAATTAAAAAAAAAAAAGTAAAGTTAGTGAATTAAAATTAAAAAAAAAAAAAAATTCTAGCCCCAGTCTGTGCCAACACGGACATCTGGCAATTTGTGGAGTTTTAATTACCTCTTTACGCCATAGGCCATATTAAGCAAATTGTCCAGCCTGCAAAGAGAAGGAGGGTCTCTGGGTTAATGCCTCACAGATGGCAAGATCGCTCAATGGAACTATTAATAAGAATGCTCCATTTTCAAAGAAGAAAAGCTCAACGACTTTCCCCAATGCCTAAGAGTTTATCCATCAGTAGTTTCCCTCTTTCTTGCCTCCAACTGTAAGTAATTCATGTTTAGGTCAATGCTAGTGTTTAAAGAAAGTGTCTAATGAATCTCCCTTTCTTTCAAGGTCTCAATTAATCCCACTCCCCCCACCTCTCAGAATAGTTGTGTGGATTTTATTTTATATCGTGTGTGAAGCTGTTTAAAAAGGGAGAGGGGCTTCTTACATCGTTCACATTTTAGTGCAATTAAACTTGTGAATAAAGTCCTCTGTTGCAGATTAACAATGCACACGCACATCATGTGCGTCAGAACGCATCTTTTCTCTGAGCCTAGCTACGGTAACTAAATCTTCTTACCACACACACTTTTTTTGTTTGTTTTGGGGTTAATACTTTTAAAAATTAGCTTAATATTTACAACCCGAAAGCACTTCCTGGCACACTGCCGTTACGTTATAATCTTCCTCATGTTCGGTACCTTACTTGAGGACAAGCTATTCACACCATGGGGCAGTAGTAACCATAGTTTCCATGATTGGAAGCCTGCTGGAGAGGCTTTTTACATAAATACTGCATGTGCTCTCACACAAAATAAAAATTAGATGACTTGGACTCTTCATAAATCATTAACCATTTCAAATTCACAGGAAATGGGAGGACATAAAGGGGCTGATCTTTTCTCTTGTGGCCAGGCAGAAGGGCCTACTATCTTCCCATGTGATATCTGACAATAAGAAAAACTGTTTTATTAAAGGGAGGCTGGGACATAGGTGGAATAAAATAACCATTTTAGAATATACTATGGGTAGGCCCAAAATATCCTTATCTCTTGTCCCCGACTGCCTTGCACAATAGAGGCTGCTCATGGTGGCTCTGCCTTCATGGAGAGAAACTTGCCTTTAGAAATGTTCCAGGAGAAGGGATATTGCCCACCACACCAGGAGCTTCCTGGGGGTTGGGTGCCAGAAGCAAGAAACACTAATAAGGCCTGGACAAAACCCTCTTCCTTGCCTTCCCAGTGTTTGATGACTTAACACACAGAAAAAGGAAACATCCAAAGAGTGTATCTCCCCTCCTCTCAACAGCATTACCTGCTGAGGGAAAAAGAGGACAGCAAAACCACTCCCTCTGGCAAGGATCTGACTCCCAGTGTACCCTTCTCTCTACCCTTTTCTTTGACTTTATTAAAAGCCCCCATCCAGCCTTAAGTCTGAGCTGCCGAATGCGGTCACTTATCTGTGATTAACTCTTGTTGAAACAGAACCTTCTTTTTGGTTAAAAACAGTAATTTTGTTTCTACTAAGAAATCTAAAATTTAACCACACAGTCACAGTGGTGAGTTGGAAGGGGGCAGGAAGAGCATCTGGCCCAATCACCTCATTTTACACAAGTGGAAACTGAGGCTCAGAAAGGAATTTTGCACAGTAATTTCCTGGTGGTAGAGATGCTTACCCTTGCCCCATCCTTTAGGGCTGAGGGCTTCCCTGCCCTGTACCCCTGCAGCAGGGCTCCTTCCCCTGTGAGCATACCTACCTGAACCTCTGAGCCTGGTGGTGAAGTGGGCCGGGGTAGCGCCGGTTGGGGGACTGGTAGAGCTGGGAGAGTAGGGCCTGGCTGGACTTCTGGCTGGGGTTGTTGGCAAACTTCACAGTAATCGGTTCCGTAGCACCGCTGGGCTTCTGGCCGTTCAGCCCTTTGATGGCTTCTTCTGCCTCAATCCTCTTATCAAAGCGAATGAATCCCACCCCTCTGGATACTCCTGGAGAAAGACAAAGAGGCTCCGTAAAGAGAGAACAAACCAAACCGGTAAAAATCTCTGGGAAGAGATAGGCTGTGCCCCATGGACATTCTGTGGGGTGTCAGCTCACCTGCAGGGCCACAGCCACGCCAGCCTCCCCGGATCACTCTTATTCATCAAAGCACATCTGCCTGCGTTTCTGACTTGCGCCCACAGGACCTAGGAATCTCTAACATCTGTCCCCTCCAGCTGTCCATCACTGCCCTTCTTAGCCCTCATCTCCCTTGAGTTGCTGTAACTGATCACCCACTGTCCAGTTTATAGTCCTCCAAAGTGTCTCACACCTAGCCACTGAGTCATCCATTTGAAAAGCAAACTCTGACCATATCACATCCTTTAACAAAATCTTCTACATCTTTTTTGTACTTTTTGCATTTTGTACCTTATGTGTGGTACCTATTCCTCACTATCCCCCTCTCCAAACAGAAAAAACAAACAAAACTCACAAAAAACCTTCCATGGCTCCATACTGCACGCAGGCATACAGATAAAGTCCAGAGATCTTGGTGCAGCATTCAAAGCCCCTCACGATCTGGCCCCAAATTCTCTGCTGAGCCTCATGCCAGCCACCTTGAACCATGTGCCATTCCTTAAACAGGCTGTGCTCTTCCTTGACTCCAGGCCTTGGCATATGCTGTCCTCTCTACCTAGAATGCTCCTTCTTGCCAGATAACTCCCAAAACTATGCTTAAACACTGCCTCCTCAATGGAGCCTTCCTAAACCCCCACCAGGCATAGCACAACCTCTCCTTAGCTCACACAGTGCTCCGGACAGGCCCTTAGTAGGCACATGGCACACTGGACTCCTATGATGGGGCAGACTGTACTGCATTCATCCCTGTTCTGGGCTCTCTGTGCAGTGACTAGGGCAGAGCAGCTTCAGGGAGGGCTTGCTGCGTGAGTCATGGATGACATGCTAAACTACCGTCGGTGGTGAGTTATAAACTGAGATTAAATTAGGGGTAGCTGAAAACACTTGGTCATTAAAAATTTAATGCCAGGTGACTGACATTTCTTACTGAGAGGTGGTGGTTGCCATTCTTCGTCATGAACAAAGTATCACAGTACCAGATCCTGGGTTCCTATCCCTGCACTGCTCCTAACTAGCTGGTCCCCCACTTTGGACTTCTGCTTCCTCACTCATGAAATGAGGCAATTTGAGGTTCTCTCTAACTCTCTAATGCTATGGTTTGGAGATACAACTATATATACAAATTCTTTTCACATACAAAATAGCATTACTTGGCTGAGAGAAAGAGACTTTGAAGGTCATACAGTCCCACTCCTGACGCCTGAATCCTCTTTACAAGCCTGCCAAGTGGCTCAGCTGCTGCTGGAACAATTCCCATGATGGAGAACTTACTACCTCCAAAGGTGGCCCATTTTAAATCTGAGCAGTTGACTGATACGAAGTTCTTCTCCCAAGTCAAAAATACATCTACGCATGACCCATACCTCCTACCTTAACCCACCATTACCCCTCTGCTCCTATGGGTAACAGGTCACTTGGCTGGTGACACCGAAACACAAGGAAATAAATTACAAAGAAATATTTAACCTGTAACTTGATCGACCAGGATTCGTGAGGTGATGATACGGCCATATTGAGAGAAAAGTTGCTCCAGTTCCTTCTGGGTCATGGTTTTGGGAAGGCCGCTAACATAGAGGTTAGCATCCCTGATTGAGGCAGAGCTCGGACGGGCATATGAGACCTAGGAAAAGGCAAGAGTCGCTGAATCCATTACAGGCAATCACCCTCAGAATAGAGGCTGCGTCAACAACCAAGATGACAGCCCCTTGTCTATAGTCACAACTCATGGTGTCCATTTAAATAACTCAGTGGCTCAGGTTTTAGCTACTCTTGTAATAGTAACGAGAACCAGGAGAACAGCAAGAGAGGAACAAAAGGAGAGTTGACGATACCTTAAAACAAATGCACAGATAAGGGTCTCTAAGTGCAGAACAAAATAGCTACTGTATGGCAGCTGTTAAATGCAGAACTACCCACGCATGGAGTTCTGAAGATTTACCTCCTGGATGTGGGTGTATAGATGATTTACAGTATCCAACACATAATAATCTCTGAATAAACCAAAAAAAAAAAAAAAAAAAACCCATGAAATTCTGTTCTGCACACTTCTCTCCTTGCCACCCTCCCCACCCCCTTCTTCTTGAACACATAAAAGCAATCAGGTTCTCTGCAAGACTTTTTATGTCCCATTCTTTTTGTTGTTCCAATCTGTTCCCACAAGGTCTGCTCTCGCTGAATGACAAAGTGCTGGTGAAATGGGGCTGAATGAACAACTGCTTGTGAAACTGGGTATGTGACCTTGTCATCACATCTGCAAGGACCAGTCACCTTCCACTTTGAGTCAGAGCAGAAAAAAACACAATAAACAAAATGGGGGCACAGAAGATGGGGGGAGAGAGAGGGGCAGGGCAGAGGGAGAGAGAAGATATCCTCACTGATGGTTATAATAAGTTTGACTTTGTAAATTTGTCCTCCCAGATCTCTCAAACTGTTTTTTTTCCCCCAAAAAGCTAACACAGAAATGTAAACAGATCTGAAATTCCATCTGTAAGAAGCCAAATCTGTAGCAGTACACATAAGCAAAGCAAACCCCAGCAGTCATTAATTTTAGACTTTCATTTACTTATTTATTTATTTTTTAAGAAAACAACATGAGACATTTGAAATATAATTTACAGCTCGTCTAACAAAAGCACTTTCCTACTAAAGCTATTTCTGGGGTGGTTATGGCTCAGAATAGATGATAAAAACAGTCATTTCAGAGCACATCTGACAATGCTGGACAGCATGGGACCTATAAGCCTTAGCGTTTTTCAGCTGGGAGTTTTACTTAATCTACGTAGCTGGTTCAGAAGACATGCTAAGACGTAAGGATGAGCTTGTGTATGTGTGTGCGCACACACAAAAGCATGTGTGAAAAGGAATTGTTGTTAGTTGCCATTGAATCGGCTCAGACTCATGGCAACCTGACGTATAACAGAATGAATCTGTCCTGCACCATCTTCATGATCGTTGGCATATTAGAGTCCATTGTTACATACCAGTGGCATAGCTTCCAGCTACGTTAAACTGGACCTTTCGCATTAAGAACTAAACTTCTACCAGCAAAGTGGACCTTACTTCTGAGGCCTTAAGGGGAAACAGTGGCTCTAGCAAGAGTTTTCACAGAGAGGACTGAAGGATGAGCAGACCCCTCACCCATGCCATCACTCCCTTCCAATGACAGAGATGCCAGGTCCCTTTATGGGTTCCATACCTAAAAACAGATGCTGACTCAACAGATAAAGTGATGAGTGACTACTTTGCCTCGCTGGCCTCCTCCTGCTGATGGTGCCTACTTTTTCTAGAAACTCATGGGCTGCCTGGGAAGCATCTGTAGGCTCCTTCTCAGCACATGGGTGAGAGGCAGAGGGGTCTTTATATGGAGGGCCCTGTGTGCATTTGGGGTGTGGGGGAGTTGGGGACACTGAAAGGCAATATTGGAACTGAGTTCAAGCAAAACCAAAGGGAGGGGGGATGAAGGACCAAGAATCCTGTGCAATTGCCTAGAGATGGCTTTGTTCCAGAGATAGTTCTCTTTCCCCTCCTATCACCCGAAAGCTAGAAGTTTTTTGGATTATAACCCAGCAGAACTGTTTTTCAGATAGGAGCAGGGAACGGTAAAACCAAAAACCAAATCTGTTGCCGTCGAGTCAATTCTGACTCATAGTGACCCTACAGGACAGAGTAGAACTGCCCCATAGGGTTTCCAAGGAGGGGCCGGTAGATTCAAACTGCCAACCTTTTTAGTTAGCAGGCCGTGCTCTTGACCACTGTGCCACCAGGGAGAAGGAAATGAAAACATTATCGTGACATGTCCTTGGTAATGAAAGTCACCCTTGTTTAACCCCTGACAACTTAATTATCTCAATGACCTTTGTGCTCCCTCAAAACATGCCATCTCACCTCTATGCCTTTGCTCATGGGGAAAAATTTCCTACCCACCTCCAAAGGTCTCAGCTCAAAGGCCACCTCCTCTAGACAGCCTTCCCTGATTTCACCTCTTCCTGAAAATCACCTCTCGATTGTGCTCTAACTGAACCACACCCATGGTACTTAACTTCTGACTTGATTCACCATCTCCTCATCTAGTACTCTATCTGAACTGACCCATGGTACTTAACCCCTTTTGACTTTGGTTCACCAACTCCCCCCAACTAGTCTGCTGATCTCCTTGAGGTCGTGGGGGGAGGTATCTTATTCAACTCTGTGGCTCTGACTCCCTGAACAAAGCTTGATCCCTGCAGGGTGCTCAACACCTACTGAAGAATGAATGAACACTCACAGCTTATGATAAATGATGCTGCCATTCATGGATCTTTGGGGTTAACTGCAACTTGGATTCCTCCACTTAGAGGGGGGTGTCACTAAGAGTCAAACACCCAGAATCACAGCTGTGTTTCCCAGATAAGCTAAGAGCTAAAGGTCAACTTTCTCACTCCCCAGTGTATGGGGTCAGAAGGACTGAAAGGACATTGTTCTAGAACTAGACATCATCTTGAGGCATTGTCTCAGCAAACATTTCCTGAGGACCCACTATGAGCCAGGCATAGTATTGGGTACTGGAGATACAGGAAGAATAAGGCATGGTCTCTTGCCCTAAAGGACCTAAGCCCAATGGGGAAAAAGAGAACACAAAGGAAGTATTCAGTAGACATTAGTTGAATGGAAGAATGAATGAGTAAACATATAGACTATCACAATGCCACAAGACATATGCATTACCAGGGCTATGTATAGGTACAACTGGAACATGGAGAAGGGGAAAACTAATCAAGGATTAAATGGGCCATGAACGAGACAGAGCTGAGGTGAGACTGGTGGTGAGGTAGGTGGTGTGAGGGTGTGTGGTGGGATCAGGGAATGGTGGCTGATAATCACCCTCCTCTGTGGGTGATGGTGCTAACAGCTAAACTCTTGATTACTAACTGAAAGGTTGGAGATTTCAACCCACTCACAGGCATCTCAAAAGAAAGGCCTGGAGATCTGCTTCTGAAAGGTCACAGCCTTGAAAACCCTATGAAGTGCTGTTCTACTCTGCAACAAATAGGGTCACCATGAGTTGTAATTGACTCGAGGGCAATTGTTTTTATTTTATTTTTTGGGGGGGTAAGAACAAATGAGGAGATGAAGGTCAAGAGTTTAGCACAGTGCCTGGCACACAATAAATGCATAATGAATAGTAGCATCCTTGATTCCCATTAGTTCTGGGCAGCCAGAGCTAGACTACAGAGGGGAGCAGGCTCGGAACAGACCCTGTTACAAAAAAGGAGCTGGCACTAGAAAGTCAATGACACAACCAGAACCATTTTCCCAAAAGACGATTCTGGCAGAGGCAGAATCTCAGCGAGCAAGAATTACCATGATAGACTTGAGACAGACCCCAGCCACAGAGCAGCGATGAACCCCAAAGGTGAACAGCACCTTGATCATTCTCTATTAAGCCTAACTCCTGCTTGGTTTTTCTCTTCTATTTGAAACCTTAAGTCTCTTAGTTTTCCTAGTCCCCTGTCGAGAAAACCTAGAGAAGTAAGAGTGGTGGGCAAAAAGGACAGAATAAAGATCTTCCTGCATTCGGTTTCCAAATGCTCACACCAGTATCTAAACTATTTAAGTTTCCTCATACATTTGTTAAATCCTAACTGAGTGACCACAAGTGTAAGGCCCTTTGTTAGGCTGAAACATTCCTAAAAAAATCTCTGGCTTTCAGCCCCTGCAGAGGGTTAAGCACTGCTGGAGTGTTAATCCCACTGAGCCAGTGTCCTAGAGCCTGGGGCTTCCGACGCTGGACGTAGCACCCTAGAGAATCTCCCTTGCCTTGGACAGTCAGGATCCTGCTCACTTCATTCATCCAGAATCTCTGAAGACAAGATTGGCATTTCTAGGTTGGCACTGATCTCACTCTGGAGCTCACGAAGAGCCAACAGCAGGGAGGCCGCTCCTCTCCCACTGGGTCAGGGTGGTCCAAAGGTGGCTGACTAGGAATGGCCAACTCTACAGATGACCTCGACGGAAGATTCGCAGTCCCTCCAAACCCCTGAGCCCTCCCCATCCCTGCTGACTTGCAGCTGCTTGACACCCCCTGCAACGGCTATTCTAACAAAAGCACTTTCCTGCTTATAAGCTGGTTCCAGTACTCACTAGCTGTGTGACCATGGGCAACTAAGTTGATCTCAATAAGCCTTAGTTTCTTTATTGGTGAAACGGGAGACAATTCTCCTTGAATGGATTATTATAAAGAATTGACATGATATATTTAATGTGTCAGGCGGATACTTGGAATTTAGTAGGTACTCAGTAAATAGTAGAATCCAGCGTCCATTGGGACACACCTTCCAATTTTACCAAACAAGCAAGCAAACATCTGGAACACTACTAGGGACCATCTGCAGAGGCACTGTCCTCATCTGCCACCCTGGTGGGGTCTGGGTCATCCTTTCCCACTTCACTGCCATGAATTTCCTCCAACACATTCCCTAAAATCTTACTGCCTCATATCCATGAAGTACTTTCCATTTTCCAAAGTGACTTCACAACACTGCTCTCAGGGATTCTCCCCAAGGTTGGGTAAGGCAAGCACTGTCGCGCATCACAGATGAGGGATGAGGGAAGCCCTCCAGTGTAGGGCAGCAGGACCGGGAC